CATCAATTATACCGAGCCCTCGTCTTGTAAAAAAAGAATTTACGGGGCTGCGGTCTCACAGAGGTTAAGAACACCGTTCTAGAACATGTATAAAATTAAATTAATTCTCTGTATGCTACGGATATGTTTCCACGCGCCACATACAATTTCCCACATGATTTTCCTGCTTTCGTGAGGCTGCAGCCATGCAGCTGCCACATTCTCCTGTAATTTTTTAATTCTCCAAAATTTCACCAATCAAGGCCCACTTCTGTACTCGTTCTCTTTCTTTCAATATTTTTTGTTTGTTTGGACGCTGCATAAGGATCAACATTCTTTCTGGAAGTGCCTGGCATCTCCTGATTAGACATCTCGACACGCTGCTTAGCGGAATGGGTAGGCCTAATTAATTGAAAGCAACACAAGGAAGACAGATGATACTGGGAGAATACGTTTCCCAAAGTACAGTCTTTAATAGGCAACATTGTTTCCCAAATGCATCAGCATTAAAATCAGGTTTCTAATCCCCGACAAACGTTTCACTGAAACACACAGGCGTTCGCAGACACAGTTCTCTGAGGTAGGCCGCACACCAGCATGTGTCAAGACATGTAACAGTCAAGACACGATGTCTGCGACATTACGCAAAGAAAAGAGCACAGCTGAAACGAATAAGATTATGAAAACCGCCGCACACCGGTCTGAGTCATGATGCAGACGAATCACGAATGAAGCAAGACTGCGTCCTTTGTCTCATGTCTTGATACATGTCTTGACGCAGTTGGTGTGCGGCCGCCCTAAGTCGGCGAAGGAATCAAAGCAAGGTAACTGTATTCAATTATGGCCACTACATGTGACAACACTGAAATGTGAAATCACAAACCTCTTTCTCAAATTCCCCTTTTCATGGTACGTTCGACGGTGAACGCGGTGGCGTTCCTTCCAGCCGCACTGTGGCCCTGGGGTCGACTCAGCCTCTAAGAGAAATTAATAGGTAGCGTAGTTGGTTGAGGGGCTAGGCTACAAGCCGGAAGGTCGCGGGTTCAAGTCCCGATGAGGTCATTGGATTTTATTCAGTTTACCTAATCCTTCCAGCCGCTCTAGGCCCTGGGATTTACTCAGCCTCTAACAGAAATGAGTACCACGAATTAATTAAATAATTTTCCTGGGGAGTAAAGCGCGGCCGGCACGTAAGGCTGACAACCTTACCGCCATCTTTGAGCCGACTGTCTAGATAGTGTGGGACCCTCAGCGTCTCACAACCCTATCGGCCGTCATGGCCTTGTACAGGGATAGCTTTACTTTTTTACTTCCTGGGGGCGCGTAAGGCTCACAACCTCAACACCATCTGTGAACCGATTGTCTAGAAAATGTGGGAACCTCGACGCCTCACAGGGCCTCCAAGGCCTGTTACAGGGATAACTTTGCCTTTTTTTTTTGTCTTTATAGTACGTGTAAAGGTCTACACTTAAGGAAATTCAGTCTTCATATAATGGTTATACATGAAGAAAACATTAACATCACAATTACTAATTTAAAATCGGTGTAGTTATTTCTGTTGGTTTAATACATAAGGGAAGTCAGAAAACTGTTCCTATAAAAACGACATATTTACGATTGCCAGAAAAAAAAAGAAGAAATATGATGAAGCTACCGCTTATATAGGCATTATTCATGTAACTAATTCATACATTCTTTCCGGATAAGGTCATTTTCCTTCTGCAAGCATGATCGTACGTCTTCCAACAGATGACGGCATTACTCAAAAGCCCAAGATATTTCCTGCAACTGACAGAAGTTCCTGTAACAGTATAAAGTGGTTTTGGGGTTTATACAGTGCGTACAATCAAGTGCGCGCCGCCGCGGCGCGCACTTGATTGTACGCACTGTATTATTGAAGTACAGGGGCGTAGAAAGGCGAGAATCAACATGTATAAGATCTCTAAGGCCTCTGCGGAGGAGGGCTAAATACAAGGTTAGATCATCAAAGAAATACTGAAAAATTACAAAGCCCAAATATTAAGCCTAAAATTGTGGAACCGAAGAGTGTAGAAACAATAGCCTGCACAATGACGATAAACGGAATAACAAAGGAGGCACTAGAATAAGGAGATCCCAAGAGCCCAAAGGCCAACTGTGCCTGGAGGCTTTAGGGACAGGCAATTAAAGTAAAGTTCCAAATGGACATACTGCAACACATTTACTGGTTGAAGACAAAATACCAAAACAGGAACACAAAATAAACAGATCTTATGGTCCCAAAGAACACACGGAAAGTTCTATTGCACTTGAAGCTCCAAGAACAGGTAATTAAGATCAATTCTTCATAATCCGTGATGATGAAGAATTTTTACAATCTGTTCTTCGAATTGAATTTGTGTTCTAAATATATCGGCACGTGTAGGGTGGTACAAGCGACGAAAATGACAGGTTCTGATTCAAATGATTGGATTTATTAGCACTTTGGTTAGTCTCTGTTAATCAGATTTAATATACGTAATACAGCGCTATCGCTGATTTACAAACTTCCCACTTCACCGCTTCACACGCACTATGGTTCCCAGTCTTCACTAGCCATCTCCTGGCAACGGATCTCAACAAAGAAACTAGCACTGTCCCACTAGATGAAACACTCCCAATATCACTGTACTACTGCACACATAAAGTCTTCTAATTCACACACAAAATCTTCATAGGCCGACATCCTGTACTCCTGGTTTCAAATCGCTCTTCCAGCTTACAACTGACTGTCACGGTCACTCTGAGCTTACGGCTCACAGCTCTCGTTATACAGCCGCAGCACATACCGCACAAAAAACAGTCTCTCTATTGCTGAACTTTGTTTACCGAGGCGTTGCATAGCAACAGTCGCAGTGCGGACCACACAGAAAACACTCTCCTCCGGTGTCAGCAGTATTGCGTCATCTAGCAACTACGTGTAGCATAGCCCGCAGCGAACACACTTTCCATTGCTGCGTATTAACGGGAGCGCATTTATCGAGCCGTTGCCAACAAAGGCTTTGGGCGTCCACGTTACAGTATTAAATTTGTTCCCTGACGTAAAAATCAAGAACTAGTACACATAAACCTTAAAAGAACACATAAATACTAAATTATTTAACGCAAAGCCAACTTTTTACATATCACGCATATCTGAAACGACTGGTCGTAGTAATCGGTATCCAGTTGCCTTCAGCTGCTGACTGTACTTGGAAGAAACTACGCATGCCCATTACAGTTTGCATGTCAAGCCTTTGAACAAGAACTTCTTAGTCCGAGCCCACCTTTTCGATAAACCAACCTATAATCCAAGTTCGTCCCAAAAGAAATAACAATCCTGAGCAAGTTATACAAACAAGTTTTTTATATGGGTGCCGTTGCATGTGTTCATTAAAATCCTCCCCCTAAACTGATTCTCCTCATTATATTTCCCTGAAGCAACCAAAACGTAAAAACTAGGAGCTGTTAGCACCATGAGCAATCAACTAGATTCCGCCATGTCCGTCTAATTCCACGGTCATTCCAATTTTCTCTTAAAGCTCAAGCCCTTTTGCTCCACTTTCAATCCTGACTAATTAGGTTTCAAACTCATCTTTCTGCGGAAAAATATGAATTGAAACCGTGTAGTGCTGTGACATAGGGCTCTCTACCGCAGAGCAGTTCGTAAAGCAAACCCGCTTAAAATTATGTAGGGTTTGAGTTTCTCGTTGCGGTGGTTATGAGTTCTACCTTCTGGGACATAATGCCATGTAGTCCGTTGAAAGTCAACCGGCGTTTCTAACGAAAATGGCGGCGCCATATCCAGGGTCGAAGAATGAGCGAAATAAGAAAAAAGCGTGAAAGCAGGCGGCAAGTTAGTTTCTTTCACGGCTTCTTCTTCGACCCTGAAGATGGAGGCAACATGTTCCACACGGAGTTATGGCCCGGAACACATAACTCTTCCCTCTTAAAAACTGTTTATCACTCGTGCAGAAAGCATACTACACAGGAACACGCTCCAAGTGTCACTGAACACATGGAAAACTCCACTTATGGCTATCTTCCCCCCTTCTCCACAGTGTCCACTCGTTACTGTCTGTAACCTGTTGGAAATCTCTCCTTCTCGTTTCCCGATCTCCCAGGGTCTTGTTGAATTCCCTCTTGCTTCGTAGCCGCTGTCTCAGGCCTCTGTTCCTCATCCCATTTTTGCGTTCCTGTTTCGGCTGACGCTTCCTCCTCCTGAACGTCCGTCGTTTCAAGGTTCCTCGTACCATGTTCCTGGTCCGATTTTTCCCGATGATGATTTCCTTGCGCCGTGCCACTTTCGCACAGCAGGTCATCCCTCTGAGGGCGAAGGCCAATTTCTTCTGGCACCCACCCATCCTTGCCCTGGGCCCGTTCCTTCGACATTCCTCGGCGCCCTACATCCGGATTTCGGTCCCTACGCCGCTTCCTCAGTCCTCCGACAGGCATTACTGCGGCTTCTTCCTTAGGGACCTCTCGTTGTGACGCCTCAGGTTCCATGTCCACTGCGGTTTGCTCTTCCCATTCCAGACCTGCCTCCATCTTTCCTTGCCAGGCGATCATCTTTTTTCGGCCATCCTTCAACTCGGACCGGATGGAGTGGATTACTTCTCTTACTTCATGTATTTTTGCGCCCGCTTTTCTCTGGTTGGCCACTATCCGGGAGATGAGGGAAAACATCTGTTCTTGGCTGGCACTCATTTCTTTTATAGTCTCACAGTCGGCAAATGCATGTATGTGCTTGTGTGTAATTAAGTCAATGAGTTATGGCCGTGCCATAGCTCAAGCGGCTAATCGCTGGCTTCCCACCGCGGAACACTGGGTTCGATCCCAGGTCTGGTCAAGTGGGATTTGTGGTGGACAAAGTAGCGCTGGGGCAGGTTTCCTCCAAGTACTTCGATTTCCCCTGCCAATCTTCATTCCACCAAATTCTCCACCATCATAATGACCCGGGGCAGGTACAATATGCCAATCAGTGACCACTATGGCAAGTGGACCCAGCTGGACTCCACGGCCCACTAAGCAAAGTCAATGAGCTGCCAAATAATGCAGTCACATTTGTAAACTTCAAAATGCAGATTTGATGCTTCAAATTCTAAATATATGCAAGTTCCTTTCAAAATGCACAGTTTTTATATAAAAAAATTGATAGGTTTCAGTCTTTTAAAACAATTTACGGCACTTGGTCAATTAACAGCTTATATCAGAAGTGCTATTTGATATCAGTAACAGTATTTCCAAACAACATGCTCCACCCCCTTTCTGGCCATGGGTCATTCTTAAACAATTAACAGTTTTACCATCATGTGCGCCACATGTGATGTTTACTGCACACAATATAGTACCTTGGTGTATACAACAGGCATCTCATTCTCACAGCAACCAGTATCTTCATATTTCACACGAAAACATACAATGTAAGAAGGCATAAGCAAGCACACATAAGCAGAAATGTCTGTATAATTTATCTTGCCTGTCAGATGACTTCCAGTAAACTCAAAGTCGTCATCCTGGTCCCAGTGCTTCAAAGAAAGATTGGTGAGGGGTGTAGCATTAGCAAATTCCAGATTTGCAAAATGCCAGTCCAAAATCTGGCGATCCCGTGATGACAGATATACATCACTAAGAGAAAATGAGAAGGGTATGCAATATTTAAATTTACATTAGAACAAATGAATGCAAGGAAGTTCAGACACTTAAAAAGAAGTGAATTGGCAGTTCATCAAGCAATACAAATATAAAGAGTGGGGAAAAAATCAGTAGTAGACATTTACCAGAACATACTGACATAAAAGTTCTATCTCATGGGATATAAAACCATGTAGCCTGTTGAAAGTCTCCTAATGTTTCAGAGGACATGTCGCCTACATCTTCATGATCAAACAATAATCTAAGCAAGACGTCAGGACAAAGCAGCCATTTAATGTGCCATTAATATAAAATTTAGCGTATAGTAATTCTGCTGTCCTAATAAGTCGTTTTCTCTTCAACGAGGACTTGACAAATGCACTGGAAATATAATATTCTTTAAAATATTTTTTTAAACAGTCTTTGCATTTATAATTACACATTAAACACCTAACATATTCAAGCATTACTGATATAGATTAATCTTCAATATTCCATTAGTTTATACAAATACAAACCTTGGTGGTGATGCTTCCAATTCTTGTAGTTTATCTTCGATTTCTCTCTGTTGTTCTGACAACTGATCCCATTCCTATAGCAGAAAATGAATAATAATCTACTTGCATTACCAAATGACCATTATATTTTATATCTTTTAAACACTGAACTACATAAAAAATGTTCTGGAAAGAGCTTACAATGTCTCCTTGCTTTCAAATGTTTCTATTAAACACACAGACTCAACTATAACGGTTTCTATCACTACCTAAATGAAAAGTACACATAAATTTAATGTAGTTTTCCCCAAATGGATGCTCCAGTTTAATTGCATATGTTTACTGAAATACATGACAATTTTCATTGTAATCCTTCTGGCTGCACTATGGCCCTGGGGTTCACTCAGCCTCTAACAGAAATGAGTACCAGGAATTAAATAAATAATTTTCCTGGGGAGTAAAGCGCGGCCGGCACATAAGGCTGACAACCTTACCGCCATCTTTGAGCCGATTGTCTAGATAATGTGGGACCCTCATCGTCTCACAACACTATAGGCCTTCATGGCCTGTTACAGGGATAGCTTTACTTTACTTTTACTTTAACTTTGATGTTACTGAACACAGCAGCCTCAGGAGAGTCAGAGTCAAAGAGAAAATATACTTAGTATGTGTAACGTTAGCATCCAAAACTATTTGTAATCATCTTTGGAAATTTTGTACTACCCCAGTGTGTTCATTGACATTAAACTTGGTTGCTGAAATTTCTTGCTTCAGTTCTTGAATTCTCCATAAATGTAAGCATATGAAAGTCCAACAAGAAAAAACTACATGGGTTGTGACCTGAACAGTAAGCTGGCCAGGACCAGTTACATCCAAAATTTGAAGCTGACCAGCACATCCATCTACTGATGAGATTAAGAAGTGTGGAGCTCCTTATCCATTCATCTCATACACTTTCATGTCACAGGACAAATTTACCCTCAATGTACAGCTTCTGATAAAGTCTCACTGAGCAAGTGGGATCATACAGTGGCACTTCTGACTTGTATTCAGGCAATGGTTTCTTTAAATCTCAGCTAGAACACAGACTATTCTGACCAACGTTTTTTGCGGTCTTAAATCAGTCCCTCTAAGCAAATGCCCGGACAGTACCTTATAAATTAGGCCATAACCATTTCCCTCCACATCTATCACAATTCACTGTTCACTTTTAACCAATCATTTGATGTTATAAGCAGCAAACTCCCCATTATCCAGCATGAATAGGGAATGGGGCCTGCACCTGCATTAGAAAAACTGAACAGTTACAGCAACATGTCGGCACTAAAGATCTTACATAGGAATCTTTTTAGGTGACACAGCAGATAGGATTGGTTCCTAGACACTATGTAACTACATAAGCTAAACAGCACTGAATAATGTGGAAATACTATCCTTAATGCTAAGTACATAACAATTTCAAAATAACTGATCAGGGTATATCCAAGGTGTATCAGAAAGTTCCTGGACTGTTGCTGCCAACTGCCTCAGTGAAAGAAGATGAGAGGGGAGGACAAAGTCAAACTTCTGCAAACCTATTACATCAGTCTGACACATGACACTGCGCTGTGAGCACACGCTGCTTTTTTGACTTCGTGTTTCATTTTGTCTGAGATGGATGGCAAAACCAAGCAATGTGTTTGCATCAAGTTTTGAGGAAAGCTCGGTAAATCCACTACCGAAACCCTTGAAATGCTTCATGAGGCTTTTGGGGAACATTTTTTAAGCTGGACAGTGGTTTTTGAATGACAATCACATTTCAAGGCTGGATGAGCGTCAGTTGAAAATGTCAAACGTTCAGGATGACCATACACCAGCAAAACAATAGAAAATATTGAAAACATTCAAGAACTCAACCACAAAGACCACTGCCAAACAATCCATGAGCTCGCAGACACCGTTTGGATTAAATATGGAGTTTGCCAGGAAATCTTAACAGAAAATTTGAACATGTGTCGCACTGACAAAAAATTTGTCACTACTATACTGCTCAGCACAGCTTTAAATTTGCTGATCCAGAGTGAGAGCAAGTTTCTTATGAATCCTTAACAAACAACTAACAGCAAAACATAATGGCTGAATCGACAGCCTAGCAATCCTCATACAGTGTAACTGTAAAATCACACAAGTGAGGTAAGTTATCACACAATACATTACTGTTTTAGTCTCTTTATTCTTCCTACTGCAGTGGGATCCAAGTATGCTTTAAGGTCAACGGAGGAGGGTTCAACACTTCTTTTAAACTGATGTACTGGAAGTTTTATTACTTTTATATGCACACAGATGCTTAAAACAACACACTTGCTTGTCATTTGCATGACTTTATGATCACCCTGTAAAACACACTTACACGGCAGGAGTTATTAAGATCCCTTAGTTTTGAACGTAAAACAAACTCTTGAGTAATGTCTCTTGGACCTTTGCTCTCACACTGTTCCTTATATTGTTTATTCAGCTCATCAATCTTCTCTCGCAGGGCTAACATCTGAAGGAAAAAAAAAGACCAATAGATTCTTACCACAATATCACTGGTTAGTGCTTATTACATTGAGCATCTTATTCAATTCAAACTGGAAAACAAACAAACATAAACTCAGAAGTACCCATCCAATACCTTGTATTTCCTCAAAATAAACTGTAAAAAGTAAAAGTGAAGCTATCCCTGTACCAGGCCGTGAAGGCCCATGTGAGACGTTAAGGGTCCCACATTATCTAGACAATTGGCTCACAGATGGCGGTAAGGTTGTCAGCCTTATACGCCGGCCATGCTTTACTTCCCAGGAAAATTATTTACAAAATAAACCATGCATTGACATAATAAAATATGTAATACGCACATAATAAAGCCTTAGTTATTGCTTGCTCCTACATGTACATTAGATCAATCTTCTACATAACCTTTAATGAACTTAAAACAATGTAGACAATAATGAACACTTTTATCTCTTAACTTACGCACAAAAGTTATTGAACTGCAAGTCACTAACAAATGAATTATTCTTAGCATTAAATTCAGTTTTTAAAATTCAAAGTATGTGACAACATACACCATGTCTGGTCTTTAAAATTTTGATAACACATGATAAAAAAATTTTATCACATACTGATCACTTTCAGCATTATGTACTATATCAGGTCTCCTAGCAACCAGTCCAGAGAGAGTGGACAGGAGGCAAAAACTGGGCAGACAAAAGTATTTTATATTGTAGAAAAAAAAAATCTTCATTTTAAAGAACTTAAGTATGAGGGTGAGAAATGAAAACCTTAAATTTGTAACAACAATTCGAAATTTCGTGCCAATATCCTCTAAGTTGGTAAGCGTGCTACAAACAGCATGCAGGATGGCCTGTAGGTTGCAGCATAGTGCAGATGCACGAACACCATCACAGCACCAGTATAAGATGGCTGCCCCCCTTGAGACTTGCACCAGGGAAGAACAGCATTCTGTTATTCAGTTTTTGTGTAGTGAAGGTGTGAAACCTATTGAAATTTATCGAAGAATGAAGTTTCAGTATGGTGATGCATGTCTGTCACAGCAGCACATGTACAAATGCAGTAGGAAGTTTGCAAATGCTGACTTCAGTGGAAGATGTTCCTCGTCTCGGTCAGGCACATCGAGTTGTGACTCCAGAGAACACTGCAGCAGTTGAAGCCATAGTGAGGGAAAACCGCCAAGTGACACTGAATGAAATTGCAGCAAGTTTAAACATTAGTCATGGTTCAGCACACCACATTGTGCATGATGTACTCCAGTTTCACAAAGTGTCTGCAAGATGGGTGCCACAGCAGCTGACTCCTGAACTGAAAGACCAACGTATTGATGCGTGTGAAGAACTTCTGCGGCACTTTGAACAAGAAGGTGTTGACTTCCTTGAGGGAATCGTTACTGGGGATGAAACCTGGGTTCACTTCCACCAACCGTAAACGAAGAGAGCGAACAAGGAATGGCGCCATTCCTCATCTCCAATACCAAAGAAGTTTCGAACACAACCATCAGCAGGGAAGATTATGCTGTCTCTCTTTTGGGACAAAAAAGCGTCATCTTGGAGCACTACACACCTAGAGGAACCACTGTCACCAGTGCATCATACTCAAATCTCCTAAAAAATCATCTTCGGCCTGCAATTAAATCAAAGCGATGTGGATTGCTGTCCACAGGTATCCTTTTGCAACATGACAATGCAAGGCCCCATACTGCCCGTACAACAGTTGTGACAATCAATGACCTGCACTTTGAATGTCTTCCTCATCCAGCATACTCACCAGACCTTGCCCCAAGTGATTTCCCAGCTTTGTACCACTAGTGCACAATAAATAATACTAAAAAATATTTAAGGTTTTCATTTTACTTGCCTATGTATATTAACATAGAAGCAATCAGCATTGTACTGTGAGAGAGAAGGAAATATAATTGTGTTTAGCTGTTGTTACTGTTGTGTTCTTCACTTTATCAACAAATCTATCCAATTTACATGTGGGAAAAGTATGTAGAAATTAGAACACCAGCAGCTCACTGACTGTTCAGTCAGCAAGGAAGTTGATTTTGTGATCACTTGGCACTCAAAAATTTATTTTTGCTTATAATACTGTTATACACATAACAAGTTGCAAATTTATTCTTTGATGGTGTCATTATTCGTTACTGATATCATCATCATCATCATCATCATCAAAATTATCATTGTTACTCTTCAGTGATTCAGTATTGAGGGGGTGGGTTTCCCCATGCATGGTGACTGATAGTCTATTGTACATCCCCCTTTTTTAATTTCTACCGTCTCCATCCCCTACCTATACTGGTGCTCGCTATCAGTCCCTTTCTGCCAGCGAGGTTTCTACCCTCTACTTGGCAGTGGTATCCAATAGTTAGTCCCTTTCTGTCAGCGAGTTAGTCCCTCCTCCGGCAGTGGTACCTAATACTTTAGCCCCTTTCTGCCAGCAAGGTTTCTACCCTCTACTTGGCAGTGGTATCTAATAATTAGTCCCTTTCTGTCAGTGAGGTCGTCCCTCCTCTGGCAGTGGTATCTAATTCTTCCCCATCTATCGGAGGCATTGGAAACTATTTGGGCGGGAAACTTTTGGCCTAATTTAGCTCAGAGGCTTCCTAGAGGCATGAGGTTCTTTTACATGCCGTAAATCAACGACACGGGACCCACGGCTTAAAGTCCCTCCCAGAGGACTTGTTCCCTGAATTTTTCCACCCTTAAAAATTCCACGACCTCCGCCGGGTTTGAACCCACATACCTTGAGTCATGAGGTGGGAACGTTACCCCTAGACTACAGAGGCTGCTATTGTTACTCTTACTTGTTTTACTAATTCCATACAGCATAGTCCTTCCTGAGAACCTGATAATCATTTAGCTGGTAAAAAACTTTTCCATCCTTTATGGAAACGTTGATACTATGTCACATTCTGGACCCTACCCTGAACCAAGGAAATGCATATCACATCCTAAATACCTATTTCTTTAGACCTGTTGTATACAAACTGCATCAGACCCATGGATGCTGAATGCTATCATCAGCATTACTGGTATTATCATCACACGGTGCTTTATAACCAGTCTGCCATACTTTGGGATGTGATTTGGCAGGTAACATCAATTAAGTAATGTTTTACAACACTGGACCTATTCCCAGCCATTCAGCAGATATGGGTGTTCTAAGATGTGCAGTAACAAATGCCTATATCTGTGAAATTTGATATATATGGCAACACTGCTGAGTACAAATATGTCTGCATTCTTTACAACACTGGCCTGCTGTACATAAAATAACAGTGACAGTTTTGTGGTTAATTACCCTCACCAAGAAAATGACAAGCCTGCAATTATGGAACCAGAAGTACCAACATTATCACACACCAATACTTACTCTGTGTTGATTAGTTTTTAATCTTTCTTGAAGAGCTATCACAGCTTTCCAATGTTGTACCTGTTTTTCTTTAACATTTTTCTCTTGTAATCTGCAAAATCAAACAATGAGTTGGATTTGAGAACTATTAATTACAACAAGAAGTTCTTATGATGCCTACTTCTGCTCAAATCTTTCAATCCATATGGTGGAGCCAGCAAAAGATACAAACTAACATCAGTGGAAAGGGTATACACCATGATGTATTACACAAAACTACCAGAAATATTCTTTGTGGTTTAAGCTTGCTTAAAAAAGGGAATAACAAAATACAAATTAGTGAAAGCCTCCCATATAAATTTCAACAAAATCTATGGAAAGATTTTTGGGACACATGGTCTACACTATTTATGGCCTTAAGCAAACTAGGGTTTACTATGTATCAGCACGCTGTACTTCAGAAAAACTTGACAATTTTTTATGGAAGTCTTTCAAAACACATTTCAATGAAGCCTGTGAAACACCTTTTGGGATATGTGGAAATATCCATTTATGGCTTCATACAGACTATCTTTGTTGTGGATCAATATGGCTGAAAACTGGCACTACCCAACAACGTTTGGTGGAAGTCTCTCACACCAATTTCAACAGTATCTATGAAATTGTTTATGGCAGACATAAAAGTTAGTTATTCCTATGATTAACTAATTAAGCACTATGCCATGAAGGAGTAAGGGGTAGTGGATGTATAGAGCCACATATTCTTGACCTCGACACTATTTATTTATGGCATACATTACGAAGTAAATCTATTCCTTACACAAACCCAGACTTTATCATTGATTAATACGGCTGAAAATCAAGATTCCTCTGCTACTTGTGGTAAAAGTCTTCCATATCAAATTTCAAATCTGTTGAACAGTTTATGGGATATAGTGAAGAATCCATTTGTAACCTTAAAAAAAACCAGGCTTTACTATGCATCAATACAGCTTCCTTCCAAATCCTTTCCAATTCATTATCATCAATAACCCCACCATTCAGTGCTATATAATCCAGATACTGACAGCACTAAATAAAACACAAAACAAGGCTATCCAGTATTTTCCTTCCGATTAGCAGTTGTCATCCACTGACTGCTGCAGCTAATGAGAATAAGATATCTAAGAAAATAATCTTGTATTTAATTTCAAGATGACAGTCACCATATGCAGTGATGACAACAGCAATGATGTGTCTCTTTGTACTGATATGGTAAACAGACACTCAATATCGGGTTACTTACTTGATGACCCATTCCAAAGCTTGTCCAAGTGAGACAGGTTTACCACCAGCATAATTGAAGTCCAGCTGATGTGACAAATAACTTGTTGCCTCTAAGAGACGGTTGAATTCTCTCTCCACCATTTCATCTTTATCCTTTGGAACCTGCACCATATGTCATCTGTATTATAAATCAATTTCTACTGATATTAAAAATAGAAATAAATAAAGCATAATAGGGAATGTAATATAAAATTAAGAGAAGGTAACAAAGGTGGTGCATAACTGAAGAAACAATAGAAGGGAATTTTGTAAGTTTTGAGGTTTTCACGGCGATGACAGTAGCAGTAGCTACTGCTCTCCGCAGCTATTCAACTGCTCTGAAGATGGAGGCGCTACGTTCCTCCGAAACGTCAGCCAAAACGAAGAATACACGGTGCCTAAACCCAGAAGACAACTTTCTTCAATAGAAGGGAAGTTCATAATACAGACATATATTCTAGAACGTGGTTATACTGAACATGTAATGTATGATAACAACATACCATACAAAAGGACTTTCAGTATCTGAAACAGTAGTGGAGTAACCAGAAACCTGGAAAATTAACCCTGTAGCTTCAGATGAAATATCCACTTTGAGCTTAGTGATACATATTTGAATACAATTACTTATCAATGAGAGTTTGCATGAAATTAGTAATGATAATGGAGTTAGAGTTGTAAACTTTGCCACATCATAAAATCTTACTGTCAAAAGTACAATGTTCCCACATCGTAACACCCATAAATTTACTTGGACATCTCCTGATGGGAAGATACACAATCAAATAGACCATATTTTGATAGACAGTAGACGGCACTCAAGTATACTTGGTGTCCGATCATTCAGGGCAGCAGATTGTGATACTGACCAATACCTGGTGGTGGCAAAGGTTAGGGAAAGACTGGCAGTGAGCAAACAAACAACACACAGAGTTCATATGGAGAGGTTCAATCTCAAGAAATTAAATGAGGTAGAGGGTAAAGAGCAGTATCGTGTTGAAATCTCAAATGGGTTCACAGCTTTGGAAAACTTGGAAAACAGACTGAAACCTGATTCAGGAGGAAATTAAGAGGAGGTTGAACTCGGGTAATGCTTGCTACCATTCAGTCAAGAACCTTTTGTCTTCTCGTCTATTGTCCAAAAACATAAAAATTAGAATATACAAAACTATAATTTTGCCTGTGGTTCTGTATGGGTGTGAAACTTGGTCTCTGACATTAAGGGACGAACATAGACTGAGGGTGTTTGAGAACAAAGTGTTGAGGAGAATATTTGGACCGAAGAGAGATGAAGTGACAGGAGGTTGGAAAAAACTGCATAATGAGGAGCTTCATAACTTGTACTCTTAAGTATAATTAGAATGATCAAGTCAAGGAGGATGAGGTGGGCAGGTCATGTAGCATGAATGGGAGAGACAAGGAATGTGTATAGGATATTGGTGAGAAGGCCAGAAGGAAAGAGACCACAGGGAAGACCAAGGCGTAGGTGGGTGGACAATATTAGAATGGATCTTTGAGAGAGAGGATAGAATGGTATGGATTGGATAGATCTGGCTCAGGATAGGGACTAGTGTGGGGCTCTTGTGAACACGATAATGAACCTTTCGGTTCCATAAAATGCTGGGAAATTCTTGAGTAGCTGCAGAATTGGCAGCTCCTCCAGAAGGGCTCAGCTCCATGAGTGAGTAAGTAAGTAAGTAAGTACTCCCACCAATCATGATTCTTTTTGTGTGAAATCAACAGACCCACAGTATAAACTTTTACTGGATATGTACTACACTCTTCCTTGAGAAATATCTTTAATGGAAGGAAGCATTATTATATTCACTTACAGTATTTCCATTTGATTCATACAAAGGACATTTCTGCCTGATCTTGTGTAGTTCCATATTGATTTGTTTGGAGAGAACAGTTACTGGATTTCCTCCCAGGCCAGTGACCACCATTGCACCAAGATCAGCAATGTAATTAGCCTTACGGAATGTAGCAATCCGACCTCCTACTCGGTCCTACAAGCAAGAACGTGGTTTTGTTATTATCAACTCTACTCATACACAAAATTCTTGACAAATTATTTAGTGGACAATAGCACCAATGGAGGACAGAGAAGGGTAAAGAAGACTCTGTCATAGGATGACCCATATTAATGGAAATACCAGTGGGTGATTATAAAATCTTACAACTAATTTTGTGCCCTTATATAATTGCAGGACAAGAATATATTTTTAGGTCTGTAAAGAATCTGCAGTAAATATAAAACTTAATAATCACAAATACTGTCATGTAGGAAATGAGTGTGGTAATTATTAAGGCATACAAATACAGAAATTGCATGTTCACTTTTTTAAATATATAAAACACAGAAAATATTGTGACCATGAAAAGAGACAATCCAGATATATGAAAGAATATGCATCTCTTAGTTAAAAATGGGTTCAAAATGAATTTTTCTGAAAAGGCATGAAACAGAATTCTCCTTGAGGTGCTGCCAGCTCATCGGCTGATCAAGAAATCCTCTGCCACTTATCCAGATTGTGTAGAGTTTAACTGAACCAAGGGTAAGTTATAATATAAAGAGCTGCTGTCATGATGAACTAAGAATTTACTCAAACAGTTCCCCATATGCATACCATGTGAAAAATAAAAATTATAAACATAATCTATTACAAACTGTTTATAATTTAATCTCACAGCATATAATGCCATGCAATATTCATATAAAGCTGAACTTGGGCCTTTATCTTTTCCAACATCCTCACCCTTGCCTCCAGCACAACTACTTCCATTCCAAACTGTTGCATTTGCTGAGCAGCTGCCAAGCCAGCAATGCCTGCTCCAATCACAATGACCTTACCATGCTTCTTTGCAGGAAGACTCTAGAATGAAACAGGAAAGAATAATATTATATTAAAGATACTACAAAAGTCATAATAACCACTTCATACATTGAAACTAAGCAACAGGGCTAGGCTTTGTATACTCTTACAGCATCAAAAGCTCACTGTAGTAGAGAGCAAGATTTCTATTTGCTGTATAATAGATTTGTCATTACACAGAATTTATTATGCTGAGTTCATCGGGGGTCAATCCCCATGGCCATGTGAACTAACACAGACTCCATGCCCATGTGCACTATCTTTATCATCACCATGGCCATAACTGTGGGGGGGTTCTTGCTCTGGAAATAAACTGAGAAATCAAGCCAAAACTTTCAGATCAGAAGGTTAGTAAATAACATTTGTTTCATGCAGATGGCTAGTAAAGAGCACTTGTAAGATAAAGTATGTCTGAGAACACTCATTTGTGAAGAATGTTATCAGAAAGCATTTTTCACACACACACATGTACAGAGCCACATAAATACACTAAAGTTATTTCATTATGGAGATGCCTGTGTGTGTGTGTGTGTGTGTACATATGAATGTATGAACTTTATGATCCGGTACACCTCTATAAGCAGTTGTTGCATTCAGGTTAGCTCCCCTTCTTCTTTAGATTCAATAGGATAAAAATTATGCTATGGGGTCACAACATGAACATAGGCCATACAAAATAGTAAAAACTTCCTAATTAATATCATGTGTGAAAAGCTATATTTCTCATGATGGGAAAATTGGTATAATCTGGGAAGAACAGCTGTGGTGTACAAGGACCAAAGGGTTACCAGATATGGAAACATTGTACCTTAAATCTCTTGAAGATGCCAAAATTAATAAAGCCATGTCTTTCAAGAAATGCATGGATTCGCATGACTAATGGTCCATCGCTGTTGTAAGGAGGTTCAATCTGAGACAGAGCATTCTCAAACAGCAACTGCTGTTTTGGGTTCTCTAGCCAAAGCTGCAACTGAAATATGTACAAAAATGAAATTACAAGAATCTGACTGAATTTAAACTGCCTTTTTAATAATATTTTAACAAACAAAATATATATATCAATAACGCCACTGAATGAACATTAAATTTCACTAATAATCCTCAATGAAACCAAAATACTAAACTACATGTACTTCATTTACATGCCTCAAGGTCCAGACATTTTCCTATGAAAAAATACTGAAACTTCAGAAAATTATGCCACCAAATATACATATCATCAAAGAAACCATAATCCATGTTCACTGCACATTAAGCTTCAAAGAAATTCCACCAATAGACATAGCAATTTTTGTAAAATAAGTGACTTTTATTAAATACCTTTGTTTTCTAGTACCATAGCATACAGAATTTGTGACTCAGGTTGCTCACATGCACTTGTACAACTAAATACAGCCTTCAACAGAATATGTTTTATACAACATTAAAAAAAAATCATTACAGAGAAAAAACTGTTGAAAGGTTTGTCTACTATCACAAATTTTTAGCGCTGCATAAAATAACATTATTGGAAAAATATTATGCAACAGGATGCACAAAAGGAAATAAAAAAATTACATGTTTTCACCAAACAAAAATTAAACCTCAATGGAGCTCTACATTTGTGAGCCCCAAAACATCAGTGATCTTGCTTAAGTCTTCAGTAGAGCATATGACCTACTCAAACCCAAAATCCAGTAATACTGACTGCTGAGGAAATTTCCAGTCACATCCATGTAAGCACAGAATATCTCAAAATTATACAGAGGCATAAGAGATAGTTTCTGAGGTGGACACATAAAAAAACAAGACAGATTACACCATCTGCACACCAAAATCCAAGTAGCTCAGTATGCAGTAGCAAGGCAGTTTAATGTGGCTGTCAACACAACACTTTATAATTAAATGAAAATGCAGTAGCAACACTTGGAATTCCAATCACTCAAGAAATTCAAAGTACACACATAAATGAAAAGGGTGACAGCAAGTTCTCTGGGACTTGCATGATGTAGCAGATAACATACTTCAAAACATGATACCACAACGAATGACCAAATTTACAGTGACCTGATGCACAGTATTACAAGACATGACTTACGCAAATGTCACATGAGAAATGTTGTCAGAAGTGTTATATTTTGGCATAACTCATTCATTCATTCATTCATTCATTCATTCATTCACTCACTCACTCACTCACTCATGGAGTTGAGCCCTTCTTGAGAAGTCACCAATTGTGCAGCTACTCAAGAGCTTCCCAGCTTTTATGGAACCCAAAGGTTCATTGCCTTGTTCAAAAGAGCCCTCCACCAGTCCCTGTCCTGAGCCAAATCAATCCAATCCATATCATTCCATTCTTCCTCTCTAAGATCCATTTTATTATTGTCCACCCACCTATGCCTTGGTCTTCCCAGTGGTCTCTCTCCTTCTGGCTCTCCCACCAATATCCTATATGCATTCCTTGTCTCCCCCATTCGTGCTACATGCTCTGCCCACCTCATCCTCCTTGACTTGATCATTCTAATTTACTCGGAGAACAGTACAAGTTATGATGCTCCTCATTATGCAGTTTTCTCCAACCTCCTGTCACTTCATCACTCTTCAGTCCAATTATCTCCTCAACACCCTGTTCTCAAACACCTTTAGTCTGTTACTCCCTTAATGTCATTACCCGAGTTCAATCTCCTCTTAATTTCCTCCTAAATCAGGTTTTAATTTGTTATTGTCGTTCCCAAATATCTAAACTGTGGCAAATTTTGAAATTATCTGTTACCTATCTTTACGTCATGATTTTGCCCTGCATTTTGGTGATGAGACAGCAACATATTTTTACATAATACTGCCTGTCTTTATTCAGCTGATTTAACTACTAGGACTCTGATAAATGTGGTATTCGAGATCGTGAACCGTCCTTTTCTGGTCTTCAGATTTATCTGCAAGTGACTGTCCTCCACCTGCACCATTCAAGGACTGTCTGAAGGTCCTACATTTTGAACTGATGATGGTAATCACCATTATGAACAGAACAGTTCTGATGCATTGAAAATCACTCTGAATGTCACAGATATAACTGTATCAGAGTGCTAACATACTGACTTCTTGTTTACAGAAATTTAACACCAAAAATTACAAATTGACATTTCAATACATAAATGTAGGTCACCTACAGATACATAAATAAAACATTACACTGATGTTCAAATTTTGACAACCAAGTGAAAAGTGACAAATAAAAGCTGAAAGCAACATGTTTTCCTTCAGTAACATTAAAGGGATTGAGTCAATGTCCATCCGGAATCAGTTGGGAAGATATAAAACATAGATGAATTAAAAATTAATTCTTCCGCATTTACATACCAGTCTGTTTCTGATGTGCAAGAATACTTTCAAAGTCTGTGGTGGTCCCTGGGCAACATCAGGGAAACCAGCAGCTTCAGTAGCTATCATCTTATCGAATGGTAATCGACTCTGAAATGCAGCTCCTTCCAAACCTAAAGAATATTAGACGACATAAAATGTTAAATTAGACACATGATATAAGGGACATATGCAGTTACAAGTACACAGTTCTCAATACACTGATCAACTGGCATGTCACTCCCTGAGCTGACAAATGGACAATAAGTTTTAATCTGAAACTTCAAAGCAACAGTGCCTGATTACTATTTTCATGTTGCTGTTGCTGTTCTTGTTATTGCTGTTGTAATTCTATGCAATTGGTCTCATAAATAAATAAAGAACTGAACTGAATTGTTGTCATTGTCCTTCTTGTCATTACTTACTTACTCATGGAGCTGAGACCTTCCTGAGGAGTGAGCAATTTTGCAGCTACTCAAGAATTTCCCAGCATTTTATGGAACCCGAAGTCTCATTACCGTGTTCACAAAAGCCCTCAACTGGTCCCTATCCTGGGCCAGATCAATCCAATCCATACCATCCCATTCTATCTCTCTAAGGTCCATTCAATTAATAATGTCCACCCAAATATGCCTTGGTCTTCCGAGTGGACTCTTTCCTTCTGCCTTTCCCACCAATATCCTATATGCATTCATCGTCTCCCCATTCGTGCTACATGCCTTGCCCATCTCATCCTCCTTGACTTGATCATTCTAATTATATTTGGAGAAGAGTACAAGTTATGAAGCTTCTCATTATGCAATTTTCTCCAATCTCCTACCACTTCATCTCTCTTCAGCCCAAATATTCTTCTCAACTGTCATTGGTTTCCAGAAATATGTTCACTCACTTTCCACCAGCAAATTAACTGAGATTGGTGACAAATTATGCTAAAAATACTTCTAGCCAAGCCTATTTTGTACTGAGCCTTTATGAAGACTAATAAGAAAATCCAGAAGTACAAAGCTCGCAATTTCACCTCCACCCAACATCAAAGATTAAGAATCAATGAAGCTATATCACCATACTTCAAACATACATTCTTAGCATGGTGCTCAGCCATAGGGTTAGCTTTAACCTACCCATTTTATGCCTGATCTGACACTTGAGTTGTATCAGGACAAACAGTATGACCTCCTTTTTCGTGTCTGTGGTCTAAGATGAAAGATGTAACAACCCACAGACTGACAATGGTATTTACAAGTATAATATGCAGCAAAACCTGTACTTTTATGTTGAATAACTTTGGCCATATTGATAGTTATTTTCACCATTCTGCAAAGCACTCTTCTTTACAAGCTGCCTCAATTAGTTACTTTATGAGGTTTAATCGTACAGTCGGATATCAAACAGAGCAGTTTAATTTACCAGTTGGGTCATCCTGCTCTGAATCTGGTTCCACTTCTTCATCCTTTTCTGCCTTTACTGCATTGACTGGAGGCGCAATCGTAGCACCAGGAGGTTGATCCGGTGGTAATGAAATTTCCTTCTTCATAGGTTCTGGAACAGAAGTCAACTTCTTTTCTGGAGTTGCAGTACCCCCAGCTTTAGACTTCTCAGATGCATCTGACACATCTTCCTCGTCCAATAGCTGACTGTATTTTTCCTCCATCTCACGATATTCGACCTTAAAATGAAGAGAACATCAGTATTAAAGGAAAACAAATTATGAAGACACAAATAAAAAGTTCAAACACAGTATCTGCAACATTATGTAAGAACAAAAGTGTGAAGCTCCATTATTCCTCCTCCTGTCTGTCATATTTTCACACCTTCCACCAGTTCTCAATTTTTCATTCCCTAATATATGTTGATCTGATATAATTTATGATACTAAACTGTTCTGTGGAACAATCAGATTGTATTAGATGTCCCCAGGGTTTCTCCAAAGCAGGAATTTAATGATGAACAATAATCTTAGAAGCCAATATCCTACTAAAAACATATCCAACTGATGAATACATTCCAAAACAATCCTCTGAGTTCAAGTCATGTTCCAAGATATATAAACCTATAATTTCACCATAATTTAACACAGGTATAAAACTCAGTACCTCATTAGTATGAAAAAATCAAGGCCAAAGACTGAAGGTATCTTTAACACAAGATCCTGAGGATGATTACTGACAACTGACAGGCAGACAAACAGACACAATAAGAAAATGAGATAAGGAACACTTTGCCCACTCTCCTGCGATTAAATAAGCGAGGCTGAAATAATGGGACATGAGGACTGAATGGAGTAAACAAAGAACTGTTGGAATTTGGCTGGTAAACTTCAGGAAATGAGACCATATAGAAGCCAAAGACAGGGATGGCAGGAACACATGAACGTTTATCATCCATGCATCACACTTCTGTGACAGCACACAGGTCCAGAAGGCCTACAAATGCACTATTTTTAATATAAACATCATTACTCCTAAATAAAACCTGGTCACCAGCAGCACAGAAGCACAAGGTTCATAACCCCTGTTCCTGGATGATAAAGGTTAAACTGGACCTCAGGGAAAGAATCACTTGGAGGAAAGACACTGAAGATGGTTGAAAGCAAAGTGCATGGACAATAATGGACCTATGCAAGATGAAAATTATGGGGAATGAAGACAATTACATGCTGCAGAACTTCACATTTTGTACTATTCACATAGGATTATGAAGAATAGGACACAGTAAGTACAATGCACAAATGAAACAAGAAATACACCACAAAGAGGTAAAAGGGAATATAGGACATGAACCTAAAGAGAGTCTTGGCATGAGAAAACTGCAGCCATCTAAGAATTAGATAGAACTGAATCAACATATGACTCAAATGCAACATTTAAAGTGACAAAGATAAATTTATTCCACAAGTAGATAATAAGCAATCAGATAAGGGAAAGTCCAAATATCAAAGAACTTGTTTGTGTGTTTGATGACAATGTAATATATACACATACAGCACTTCATATGTAGGTCATGAATAGCAACCATCCATTAATTTTTAAGTATCCAAATTAAGTGCAAACGTTTGCAAACAAATCCAGCTGCAATCATTTATTTGTCTTTAGTCAAAATCAGTAAGTTTATAACATAATTAGAACCATTCATTTCATATTATGGAAAACTAGGTACAAATAAGCTTTAACTTTTAGTTTCAAAACCGTTAGTACATCATAAATCTGCAATTCTGAAATAACCTATATCACTGCTACACAATGTGATTCCTAACCTATCAATGATCTAAAACTGAATATGCAGACAGTATCAAAACTGTCATCATATATCTTCCATGGATATCATATATAAACATGTCAACTAATGCATATAATAAATACTGCACTCAGAACTGCAGTATCTGTCTAAATTGGTGATAAATGTGTACAAATAACCAACTTATATGCACACAGTATACGTACTGAAGAATAAGCCAGTATCTGTCAGTAACGTGTTCTCACTGCAAACCGTGTTTGAACGGTCTGACACTAACAATATCGTTAAGAAAATTAAATACCTTTGCTTTCTTCCTACGGCTCATTCTCCTGCCTTCCTCACGAGTGTCAACGGTATCTCTCACTCCAACGCTCTCATTTGCCAAGCATGGACGCTCGTGTTCAAGATCTATTATGGGATAAGAAACGCCTTCTCTCTTGTCTTTTTTCAACACATTTGTGTTCATATTAACACACAAAAATACAACCAACAATATAAATATCGCACAAATAATAATGACACTCGTTAATTCTCGAAAGAAAAAATAAACGTTTTAAAATTAAGTGCTACACTACTCAAACTTTGAAATCCCACTATTTATGTCCCCACTGCCTTCTACCTCTTCCGGTTGGACCTTCACAGAGGCATAAACGTATCGCGTTGATAATGGTAGTACACAAGATCGTCACAAGAGCGCTACTGTGATGAGGTTGTTATATTTGCGAACAATATTACGAACCCTATTTTTTAAGTCACGGGCTGAAACGTGAAACATTAAAACGATAAAGCAGAGTTATATAAGATCATACCAATTGAATAAAAACAATAGAGACAAAACCACAAGTATCATGGAAGTAATTTATGATATACGTGCATTCTATCACCAGCGAAGGTTTACAACATAGACATTTTTTACTTATCTAAAAGCACAATGCTAATTATTAGTAAACGAGGATGACAGAGAAAACAGCATATAGTTATCCAACAGCCATCTTTAATCACTGACATAGTTCCGGTTTCTATCGATTTTCACCGCAATCAGGACGATCAGGACGTAGTTATATGGTTATATCACCACAGAAGTATTCTTCTGTTTATGTACGAGTACTTCCATCAGTTAACTGAAGACACTTGTGACGCAAGTGAATACTAATTACTCAATATGTAAGACTATTGTGTTCAGATGGCTGTTTAAACCTCATCTTCGTAGAATCCTTTGTCTCTGTGACATCGCGAAAAGTTCATAAAGATTGGTTAAGGCATCCACAGGAACAGACGGCATGGAGATCGCATAAGCCTACTTCCATTTTTTCAAATTAAGGGAAGTAGGCTAGAAAGAAAACATTCCTTACCCATGGCCGCCATTTCAGAATTACTGAGCTAGAGAAATAGGGACACGTCGATTCAAATGTTAAATCAAAGTCCCCGAAACCCTTGACATAACACCGAACCAGCGACGTATGACGCATAGCCCATTCTCGCACGCATACCGACGGTCTCCCTCCCCTGCGAAACAGGCCGAAATCGCAACTAATTCTACGCGAACTGATAAAAGCAACATTTTGCTGTCTCCACTGATACACTGCCTTTAAGCCAGAAAGTGATAACAAGGTGTTTAATCTGCGATCTGCTTGGCATTCGGCAAGTGAAACATTTATCAAGAGCTAAAGGATGTGTTGCATGATGAAAGAACATGCTGGGCTCTGAGCAATGCTTCATCCCTTCAGTCTTGCTTGTTTGCTGTTCCCACTAAATGAATCGGGACAGAGTTGAGATCAGATTCCAGCATCTTCGATTAAAGCGAAACATGACCAAACCTCTTTGATGAGCGTCACAAAGAGAGAGGTCGTGTAACAAACATAATTTAATTTTATGGGCGTAATTCCTGAATTCCTAAGACTGCACATATCTCTGGATCATTTACCGGAACAAGTGCACGATCCGTAACTCAGCACTGATCCAATTTTCCTTGCTCAGGGCCCCTTATTTTACAGTGTTTTCAAACAGTACACGGATATCAGCCTAATTTCTGTATCGTGCCATAATCCAAACCAATTAATTTATGGGCCATTTCATTCTTTAATGAGTGACGTGGAAAAGTTTGTATATCGAACATTTGGGGGCGTTCAGATATTTCATCTGTTAAATTAGTGGCTTGGCGCCTACGACAGCAGAAGTGCTCATGTCTGTGTAGAAGGCAACGCAGCAGGATTATCTTCAATAAAAACGCAAATAGGACTTTTGCACGATTTTAACTAAGAACTGAAATATACGGGCAACGTTTAGTATAACTTCACACCTAACGTAAACTGCCAAGAAAATCCATTCGTCCAGTAGATTGTTAAAGAGGTGATACTACAGAGTTGTTTTCGGGAGATGCACGGTTCGAATCTAGACCGCGTCACCGGTTATCTTCACTGAGGGTTTTCGTGGAATTGCAGCCACTCCAGGCAAATGTCGGGTTAATACCTCCATCACATCAGTTTCTCTCCCATCCAAATCCTTTCCACATTAAGATTCATTCATCATCCTAGTCTCGTCACTGAACTCGCCGCAAAATAACCGACAGAAGAATAAAAAGAGAGACAGTCCACCCAATGGGAGCGAAGTAGTTGCACGTGGGCAGACAACCATACACGATGCCGCTGTTTCCCGTACTTCTTCCGAAGGCGCACCGTAAAATCCGCCTAAATCAGTCGCGCTCACATGGCATCGGTGCTGGGCACGACGTGTCCTGCTCGCAGCAGGGACTGCATCTTCTAGCCAAACCGGAATTCGGGACGTTCGGGACACTCCGGAACTGCGTTACATATGAGGATATCACAGCGATGACTATGATGAGTAACGCGTGACGTCATGCGGTCTGGTTGAAGTTCGCCTACTCCTCGGAAGATGGCACTGCCTCGACCTTCTGGATTTCTGGATCGAAGATTAAGGTGAGTAAAAAAGTATTGTAAGATTTGAGGCTTTCACGGCGGTGACTATGAAGAAAGCAGTCTTCTGGGATTTGGCACCGTGTATATGTGGTGTTAACCGACGTTTCGGAGGAACGTATCGCCTCCATCTTCAGGGTA